AATTACACAGAACTATGGATGGATGTATTTTTCCTGAAGAGAATGCTGGGCTTTGTGGAAGGTATTGCAACCCTGAAAGTTACTGTGCCAAAAAACACAGTAGTAAACCCCTTCTTTATCATACTCACCCAATCACCCAGTCAATTACAGAAGTGTTTAAGTTTTCTCAAGAGCTAGACACATTTTCTAAAGAAGGACTATACTGTCAACAGTCTAAAGATCAAGGCAATTTTATTACACTTCAGGAAAATGCCACTTCTGAAGGAACACCTGATCAGATGTGCCATGATCCTGAGTCAAACTGTGACACCATGCTTTCTCACTTTGATTAGACAAAAAAAAAAGTGTGGAATACAGCAACTTCACTACCAAAAATAAATACATATATAGTTCTTAGCATATATCTTCATTACCGCAGTCATATTAATGGTGTGGAACTGTCAGCCCCAGCTTAGTCCTTCATTTTTTACTTCTGGAAATCAAAAGATTTGTTAAACAAATGATAGAGTCTGAGAGTTTAACAAAGACTTGTTTCTAACTAGACCTAGTTGGTACAGAACTGCACAGACCAGTGCTAAGCTTCCATTTTAGACACTTAAGCTATTCACAGAGATCTCAGGGAAAGGCAAAACCAATATAGAACGCTACTTAGAAACACACCAATTTTTTTTCTTTGCCTGTTGAATCATAAACTGTCTGACAACTCTGGCAGCCACCCAGTAACCATATTCAGTCTGGTATTGGTCAGACTTAAGGATTTCTCATCAGGAATGGCAAGATCCTTTTGGAAGAAACCTGAGCATAAGCACATTCTCAACTGGAGACTGGATTAACTCTGAAAAAAAAACCACACTTTTTTCAAGAACCCCTCCACCAACCCAACCTCACATGGCTTCCTGCATGTCCTAAATACAAAGAATTTCTATTTAGTTTAGCCAGCACAATAGCTTTATTTTGCAATTTGAATTATTGTACACAATTCAGTAAAAGCCCACAGGAGGAACAGCATGGAGACATCTCACTTTTTGTCATTTCCTTAAATTAGAGCCAAAGGACCAAGTCTCCAGTTAACCCCCAAGGTAAGAGTACAACTCTTTGCTGTTAACAGAAGTATGTTACTACTTAAAATATCTAATTATTTAAAAAGGCCACATCTTCAAATACAATTAGAAATAATTTAATAAAGTTTTTACTTCTTTTGGTATGATAAATTGCAACATATCCTACAGCTGATAGGTAACAGAACATCGTGTTTTCCCAAGACATGTAAAAAACCAAACAACATTGTCTCTACATTATTTCATACACTTTAAAAATTAATGCCAGAAATCAATTGTTCCCAAGCATCCAAGTGGAGTTTTATTTCCTTCAGACATGCTGTTGCTCCTCTTCAAAAAGGGAAAAAGAAAAAAAAAAAAAAGAAAAAAGGCCAAACGAAACTTTTCATATATAGTGTTTTGAGGCACAGCTTCCCATAAAGGAATTTTTACACCAGATGTTTGTTACACCATTGTTGCTATTTGAAGTCTATGGCACGTTGACTTTTTGGGGTGGAAAAAACATGCTCCTCTGTGTTCAGCTGCTACAATATGGCACAAAGTTAGAAGTTAACACCATGACTAAATATTCTGATGCTTCCTTTTGCTGGCTATTTTGGGGTGCACATAAATAAAAGGCACACTTTTCCTCTCTCCTCATGAATTATTTATGTACTGTACAAGCCTAACTCTCCAGCACTGCTCCATGCCTGCTGGTTCAGTGCAAAAAACAATTTAAGTCAGCATCCAATGCTAGTTGAAGCTCCATATGCTTAACCAGTGGCTTTACTTTAGCATGCTACTTCCACTGTGGTGACCAGTGATGAGAGGCCAACAGCATTCCTGAAAAAAAATTAAAGTCTAAAAAAAATATAATGAAGTTATTTCTATTCACTTACATGTATATTTTCCAAACGTGTTCACAATGTTCAGAAAGTGCACATTTTGAAGTCTGGTTTCAATATTACAAACATCCATGACCTATATATTATAGCAGCGCCATGTGCAACAGTATCATTGAAGAACTGTCAGCATTTCCATTACTGACCCTGTTTTGCAAGAGTATAGTGAAAATAACAAGAATTTGCTCTTCTCTAGAACTTACTGTCCATAATGTCTTCGGTATGGTAGTTTTAAATATTTGGATTTAATTCTGTACAGCAGTCAGAATCTGCAAAACATAAGGTTAGTGGTTTCACTTTTTGGCGCTCATTTTTACATAACAAGGATTTTCAAGAATGAAAGTGAGCGTAAAACACTTGAAGAGCCCTCACTGATAAAAGTTCCACAAACCATTACCACACTGTTAAAAACTTAAAAACTAGTAAGATTTAGTCAATGATTTGTGGATCCTTACAAAATTAGTCTCTGTGATTTAACAACAGATAACATCAATGAAATTATTATATATAAAAACAGCTTAACATTAAAACCGTCTTAACATCAATGGTCTGACAAATATATCTAAACAAGAATATTCAGAGTTAAGACTAGTGCTAAAGGTAGCTCCTAAATGTAGATTTGAGTTTAGATACTCTCAAATTGATACGCCTTTAAAAAAAAAAAAAAAAAAGTCCAACTTTCAGAAGAGTCTGAAAAACAGCAGTTTCAAGTAAGTCTGGAGCAATTAGGTATTGTGGCTAGTTACCATCAATATGTACTGTATGCTGAATTGACAAAATTGTGTTAAAAGATGTGAGTTGAACCACTGTGTCTGAAGGTTCTTGCTTTGGTTATCTCCAAAAAAAAAAAAAAAAAATTTGGACTGTTACAGTAACAGTGCAAGTTCATTATAAAGCCACATGCCCCTCTGTAGATGTTTTTACTATGCCCACTGCCAGCAATGGACATTCTGCTTGGAAAAATCCACCTCCAGCTGCAAAAGGTCTTGCTGAACCAAATGAAGAAAACAATTCTGATATCAGACTCAAATGAGAACGCAGTATTTCATTTAGTTCTTGTTATGAGTATTTAAAAGCCGCCTCCACCTACAGTCTTTTTGAAATACAAGGCACAAATAGGGAGTGGACATTCCAGCAAAAAGTGATTGTCTGAAATTATCAGTCCACAACAGTCTCCTAGTCCAGCACAATGAAATGTTTTTGCTGTCCAGTTCTATGCCATATCTTCCAGATAATCTGCAACATCACTTAGCTGGGAAACGGTAAGGTCTTGCGTGATGCCTTCAAGCTAGAAAATAAATGAAATTAAAAATTCAGAAATCAGATAAATAAATACTAACTATTATTTATAGTAGTCCTTCATAAAGCATGCCACTCATTAAGCCCTTCCAGTGAGATTTCTAACTCCTTTAGGAGTGCTCAGACAGATCTTGAGATATAGGGATAAGACATTCCTATGCTGGATACTAAACCAGTCTCAAATTTACATTCCTAGAAACAGACAGTGAATCTGGTATCAAACAACTGTGAGGTTTCTCTCTTTTTTTTTTTTTTTTAAATCAGTATAGTATCTAACTTGGCAGAAATACTAGATGTAAAAATACAGAGTATAAAAAGTAGAACTTTAACATGCATCCTGGGAACCACTGATACTGGAATATTCTTTCACAGAAGTTAAAAAGTCAAGACAAGATCATAAGAAGATCAAGAATAATTTTAAAAGAATCATACTTTATCACTGGCATTCGACGCTTCTGTTTCTACAGAAATTTCATCTATTTCTTCACCAATACTGATATCACTTTTTAACTTGGCAGAAATACTAGATGTAAAAATACAGAGTATAAAAAGTAGAACTTTAACATGCATCCTGGGAACCACTGATACTGGAATATTCTTTCACAGAAGTTAAAAAGTCAAGACAAGATCATAAGAAGATCAAGAATAATTTTAAAAGAATCATACTTTATCACTGGCATTCGACGCTTCTGTTTCTACAGAAATTTCATCTATTTCTTCACCAATACTGATATCACTTTTTTCTGAGCGATGACTAGCACTGAAAAGAAGAAAACCATAAATGTATATAAATATATAAATGCAAATAAGACTTTTTTCAAATATCCAGTTTTTACATTCAATTTCACATTTTAACCTGACATTTGACTTGGATTTCACTTCCTAGCAAGTTAAAGACCCATAACAACTAAAGGCCTCCTACCTAGACAAAGCCATGATAAATACTGATAATGACTTCAGTCTCAATCCTGCAGTTTACAACACAAATATCTTCACATCATAAGCATGAGGCTGCTAAATATTTACTGCTGACTACTCATGATGCTTTATTTTTCAGTTGAATATTTAAGCATACACCATAGTAATTGCATAATAGCATTAATTATAGTGTTTGAATACCCAATACCTTCCACAAAAAAGCAAAAACTTCTCATAATCTTGAAGTTAGCACCAGGTTTTTAAGGAACTCGTTAACCCCCTACACAAGAGATCATCTTTTTTAATTTGTAACTATACGTATTACAATAGCAAAGTAAAGCTGAAAGGAGTTCACAGACAGTAACAGACTCCAGCAAGTGACTAGGTGAAATATTATGAAATCATTCAAATATGCCAGCAGATATGCTTATAAATGCATTAAATACTATGCTAGATCACTATCATCCTTCTCTTACCTGTTGAAGTCATCAGCATACTCATCATCATCTCCATTTCCTAAAGAAGTTTAAAATGCATTAATCAAACAAGTTCTCTCTTCAGGAAATGCAAAAAAGACTATTACTGCTCCAAAATACATGGTTTGATGGTCAACAAAAGTGGAAGTAGATTAAATCACTTGTGCAGATTTATGAAGAGAAGTTGAGTTTGTCATTAACTAACCTCAATCTTATTTACACAAACCGTTTTGCAATAAAACATATATTTTCAGGATTTAAAATACCTGTCAGATCTATTTTAAGAGACAGCTGATGCTTCCTATATCATCTTCACACAGCTCCTAAAGTTTTTAAGGCAACTTTTCAAAGTGCAGAGGGCAAGAAAATGTGCCACTGAAACAAAGTAAGACTGGTCTGGCTGTCTTTTCCTGCAAATATAAACCCCTCTTTTCTTAGAAACCTTGCAACAAAGCTTATAATTTGATGTTAGCAAATGTATGCACAGAATGAATACCATTTTTGCTGCATGTGTAAAATACTGATCTACACACAAGGCACCAATTTTCACTTTCTTCTATTCCTTTATATCAGATCTTGATCTTAACTGCATTAAGTTCTACAGTGGTGTTAAACAGAGTGAGAGAAGTAAAACCAGACATTTTTAGTCCACAGTGTGTGTATTCCAGTTTCTCAGATTCCTCTAAGAAGCTGGGCCAGAACTTTCATTTAAAAATTTCAGAGCTTATACATGTTTAGGAGTTACTTGCCTAATTCTAGCGATCCCAGTTTTGCATTCACCAACCGCAGGTCTTTCAAAACAGAGCTTCTATTCAAATCTGTAACAAAAAAATAGTTGTATCAGAAATTTAATTTGTAACTCCTTAATAAGATCTCACTTAAACCTACCCATCAACCATTTATAAAGAGCGTTTTTAGAATAACCTTATTAACATACTATAAAATTATATATTATATCCAATTTTCAGGTCCAAACTCTGCAAACATTTAAAACCTGAGCAGCAAACAGGAAGAATCTCTTAGTATTCAGGGTCAGGTTTTACAACATGAAAGCAAATACCCCTGAAGAGCTTGTGCAAATAATAATTAAAAGGAGTAAGTTCATTTCAGTTAAAAAATGAGCAGTAGAATTTTATGCTCCTGAAAATTGATTTATATGAACCAAAGAAAGGAGTGTGTTTCATGCTCCAAAACATATGGTGCCCCAAAAACATAATATATCAAAAGAAGTATGCAATCACTCAGTGAAAAAAGAATTACTATGAAGCACATTATAACCAGGAGGGGGCCACCTACAGGAAATGTAACCACATTCACATCTGAATACATAGATAATTCTTCATATTACAGGAAATGTCTCCTATATTCATCAGAACACAAAAACATGTGAAAACTTACTTTCAGACTCCTTTAGTGAAGGTGCACCAGTCAGGGAGCTTAACCCGCTTTTAAGAGGTGGTGCATCAGAAAGGGATGCTAGACCTCCTGTCTTATTAGCTTCCATTTTCCTAAAATACACCAAGCAAATAAGAACTCCACAGACCTGTAAAATGTGCATAGTGACTTTCTTTTCCATTATTTACTAAATTGTCATAAAACCAGAACAACAATATTTATAGCAAAAAGAGCAAGGGGAAATGATTATTCCTTCTGAAATTTTAAAACCAGTAGCTAGTTTATTGGCACAAGTGTCAAGCCAGACATCAAGTAAGAAAGTCACTTCCTCACCTATGCAAAGGCTTCTCCTTGCCTTCTTTCAACAACAGAGCTCCTGCATCACTACCTCATCAGCATCACTAATTTTATTGAGGGGTCCTTCATTATCCCCACATATAAATGCAGCCAAAAGAAGAAAGATTAAGACATAAATCAATACTTCAGTTATTTTTTTATTTACAACTAAAAGAGATTATGTCAGATGAAACTATCAAGCTTAAGAGCAGTCTTTCACAGAATGAAAATGTCTTTAACACATGATAATGAGATCTATGTTGTTATAATAAAGTTGACTTGGCTATTACCTATTCCAGTCATCTAAAGTGTTGAGTTCCAATATGACTTACAATTAAAGGATGAGGACTAATTAAAAGAGATCAAGACATTCACATGCTGTATCACCAGAACTGTTTGTTACTGCGATTCCATTCCTATCAGTAACAGACAATACATGAATCGCTCATTTTATCTACACTAACAAAATATCATATACACCAACACATACTAAAATATCTTAAAATTTTGAACATGTGAGAGATGATGGTGCAAGGAGAGCTTGGGCCATCTCTCACTCTTTCCTT